GAAGCTTGTCAGTTTAATAAGGTCCCATTGATCTATTTTCTCTCTTATGAGCTGTGGGTTTTGGGTTTTGTTCAGGAATTGGATGCCAGTTCCGATTTCCATGAGGGTTTTTCCTTCACTTTCTAAGGTTCTTATGGTTTGAGGTTTTACATTTAGGTCTCTGATCCATTTGGAATTAACCTTTGTGCATGGGGATAGATAGGGGTCCTGTTTCAATCTTCTGCATATGGTCAGCCAGTTTTCCCAGCACCATTTACTGAATAGGTTCTCCTCTCCCCATTGGTAGGTGATGGAGGCTTTGTCGAAGATGAGTTGGTTGAGAAATTGAGGTTTTGCTTCTGGGATCTCAATTCTATTCCATTGATCTATATGCCTGTTCCTATACCAATACCAAGCTGTTTTGATGATTGTAGCCTTATCGTAAAGTTTGAAGTCTGGTAGTGTGATACCACCTGCTTTGTTTTTTTTGCTGAGGATTGTTCTGGCTATTCTTGGACATTTCTGTTTTCATATGAATTCCTGCATTGTTTTTTCTAGGTCTGAGAAGAATGTTGCTGGTAATTTGATGGGTATTGCATTGAATTTGTAGATTGCCTTAGGTAAGATGGACATCTTCACAATGTTGATTCTTCCGATCCATGAGCATGGGATATTTTTCCATTTGTTTGTGTCAACTTTGATTTCTTTGAGCAGTGTTTTGTAGTTTTCCTTGTAAAGGTCTTGCATGTCTCTGGTTAGGAAGATGCCAAGGTATTTCAATTTTTTTGTGGCTATTGTGAATGGAATTGTGTTTTTTATTTGGGTTTCTGTTTGTTTATTATTGTTGTAGAGAAATGCGATTGTCTTTTGTACATTTATTTTGTATCCTGAGACTTTGCCAAACCATCTCTACATGAAACACTTAAGAAAGTACTAAACACAGAAGAAAAGGAAAAAAGAACAATGTTCTTCACAAGAGTACAGGGAAAAGAATAAAATACACACGAACCAACCCCAAAACCAAAAGAAAGACAAAAAAAAAAAAAAAAAAAGAAAAAAGAAAAAACCAAGTGGAAGAACAACAACTCAATAAGAACTCCATGATAGGGACGAACTCTCACATTTCAATAATTAGTCTGAATGTGAACAGACTACACGCACCACTGAAAAGACATAGAATGACAAAATGGATAAAGTATCACCAGGCAACAATATACTGCCTTCAAGAGACCCATCTCACTAGAAAGGACATACACAGACTCAAAGTAAGAGGATGGGAAACAAATTTTCAGGCGAATGGAACACAAAAGAAAGGAGGAGTCGCAATCCTAATTTCAGACAAAATACCATTTAAGCTATCAAAAATTAAAAAAGATACAGAGGGCCACTACATAATGATAAAAGGTTCACTCCATCAACAAGAAATATCTATCCTAAACATATATGCACCCAACATAGGCGCACCAACATTCATAAAGCAACTTCTAGGAAAACTAAAGAAAGACATTGACTCTAACACCATAATAACAGGGGACTTTAATACACCACTCACAACCTTAGACAGATCATCAGGACAAAAAATCAGCAAGGAGATCCGGAACCTCAATGAGACTCTGGACCAAATGGACTTAATTGATACCTACAGAACACTCCATCCAAACACCACAGAATACACATTCAACTCATCACCGCATGGAACATATTCTAAGATCGACCACATAATTGGACACAAATCAAGTATAAGCAAATTTAAAAGGACTGAAATTCTACCATGCACCTTCGCGGACCACAGTGGAATAAAAATAAACATTGACACCAACAAAGTCCCCCCAAAACCTATTTTTGTATTTTCTTAGTATTTGTTCTAAGAGATTATAATTTACATACCCAAACGTTTACAGTCTACTTAAGAGTTTATATTGTACCACATCATATAATAAGTAGAATCTTGCAAACACATAGGTAGATGCCTTTACCCTATCTTTCTCTATCTATCTTTCTCTATCTTTAATATTATTGTTGTCAAATATGTTATATCTGTATACACTGAAAATTCCAGCAGTGTTATAGTTTTTGCTTTGTATATTCATACACATTTTTAAAATGGTTTTTTCAAAAATATTTACTCAGCTATTTTCCATTTCTGTTTGTTTCCCTTCATTCCTGATGATCCAAATTTTCATCCAGTATTATTTTTCTTTAGCCTAAAGAACTTTAATATTACTTGTAGAACAAGGCAGGTGATGACAAATTTTCTTCATCTAAAAACGTGTTTATTTCACTTTCATTTTTCTGGAATTCATCACTGGATTAAGTTCTTTTATGTTAGCATTTTTAAAGATATTGTTCCAGTTATCCTTTCCTATAACTGCTTTCAAGATTTTAAAAAGTTATCTTTAGTTTTCAGTATTTTAATCACAATGTGTTTAAGTGTGTTTTACTTTGAATTTATCCTGCTTGGGATTAGGTGAACTTCTTGAATATGTAAAAGTCTATCTTTTTCTCCAAATTTGGGAAGTTTTCTGCAATTATTTATTCATTTTTCTGGCCCCAGTCTTTCCTCTTTCTGAAACTCCAAGTACATGATATTTGTCTGACAGCCATTGAAGCTGTTTGTTAAAAACAACAACAAATTTTGCTTTTCTGGTTTTCAAATTCAGTAATTTCTACTGAATCATGTATGTTCAAGTTCAGTGATTCCTTTTCCTATTATCTCCAGGCTACCTTCATGTCCACACACAATGTTTTTCTTCCTTTAGGAATATATTGTTCAATTCTAAAATTCCATTTGATTAGTTTTATACTATTTTTCAGTTGAGAATTCTTATCTTCATCATTTAGTGTGCTTTCCTTTACACCTTATAAAACATGTTTAATAGCTACTTTAAAGTGTTTTTGCAATTCAATTATTCTAAAACAACTGAGAATATTCATGTATGTGGTAGTCAATTGTTAGTTTTTGCATTTTTTCTACAATATATAGGAAAGATAGGCTTACAGTGCTTATGCTGCCATGATAGGAGTAGATCTCCTAAGTTTTCCTTTTTAACAACTTCTGTGACAAATGATCTAAAAGAGCTGAATCTGTTACTCTGTGGTTTATTTGGTAGAGCTGCCATAACAAAGGACCATAAACTGGGTGCTTAAAATAACATAAATGTATTGTCTCAGAGTTCTGGAGGCTAGAGTCCAAATTCAAACTATAAGCAGGGCCATATGTTCTCTGAGACTCTGAGTAGAGTTCTTCCTTGGTTCTCTTCCTAGTTTCTGGTGGTGGTCAGCAATCTTTGGTGTTTCTTGGCTTACAACTTCATTAGTTCAAACTTTGCATTCTTGCATCCATGGCAATCTTCCTGCTTGTCTCCATGTAATCTTCCTTCTGTATGTGTCTATGTCCAAATTTCCCCATTTTATAAGGATACTAGTGACACTCGATTAGGGTTCACCCTAATGATCTTATTTTAACTTACTTCTGCAACAAACCTATTACCAAATAAGGTTATACTCTGAAGTACAGGGATTTAGGACTTCAACATATCTTTTTATGGGGACATAATTCAACCCAGAAGAGTTTCTTTTTGTCACGTTTAAAAGCAACCATTAGCAGTGGCATTTCAAGAATAATCTCAGAATTAGGCAAGTCATTTCATAATTATTCTCTTCTATATCACTATGGGTTATAATTCAAAGGAAAATGCCATTAGACTAGTATATTTTACTACTGATTCTAAAGGAAATGGCTTTTACAATGGAGGATGAGCTTTAAGTTTTTGTATAATGCTCTTTTCACATAAAAAAATTGTCATATTTTTAATTAAATACATTTTATAACAAGGCTATCACCAATATATTAACAAGCCCAATCTTTTCAAAGTACACAAATATAATATATTAAAGCTAAGTCAAACTGTGTAGCATATGGAAGAGGAGAGAATAGAAGAATAGAAGAAAGAAGAATGGTATCAGTAAGGAGGCTCTATAAATATGAAATGACATTTGAACCTACTTTATAAAAAAACTTTTTTTTTTTTTTTAAGGAGACAGAGTCTCATTTTGATGCCTAGGCTGGAGCACAGTGGCTATTCACTGGCACAAAGATAGCATAATACAGTTTTAAACTCCTGGGCTCAAGAGATCCTCCTATCTCAGGCTCCCTAGTAGCTGGATCATAATCATGTACTACTGTGGGCAGCTACTTGAACCTACTTTTAGAAAACACCCTTTAAAAGCTGGCTTAATGATGGGATAAACATAGATTTACGTGTATAGGCCTTTAATATCCAGTAATAGTCTTAAAAATATTATTTAAAAAATATAACTTAAGGCCAGTCACAGTGGTTTCCACTTGTAATCCCAGAACTTTGAGAGGTAGAGGTATTGCCTGAGTCTAGGGGTTCAAGACTAGTCTGGGTTACTTGGCGAGACGTCGATTCTACAATAAATCAAAAAATTAGGCAGACACAGTGGCGCCTGCCTGTAATTCCAGCTATTTGGAAGGCTAAGGTGGAAGGATCACCTAAGACCAGCAGGTTGAGCCTACAGTAGCCATGATCATGCCCACAGAACTCCAGGCAAGTGACAAATGAAACTCTGACTCAAAAAAATAAATAAAATAAAAATAAAATAACACAACATAAAATACAATAAAATAAAATATTGCATGATGAGCAAAGAAGTTTTGAGTGAGATTATGACTGAAAATCACATTTGATCAGTTCAACACTTTCAGCCTGACAATAAAATAGTTTTTCAGTGTTTAAAAACATTACATCTGCAACTAATTTTATTCCATCAGCCAAAAGATACATTTATGCTGCCACCATTACATTTTCAGAAGAGTTTAAATTACAAAACTTGAGAGAGCTTCAAAGTAACTCCTAATCTAACCACCCTGACCTTGATGGCCCAGTTAAAAACAATTTAGGATACTTAATAGAAAAGAAACCCTTCAACAAAATGAATAACTATTGTTTTAAAATCACATTACCTTAAATTTCCTTTCATAAATCAAATGTACTAACCTGGGGATTAGAGCATTTTATCGCTAGTGAGTCAAGGTCAACATGGAGACAGACAACAAATGAATGTCGTGTATCCGGGCCTGCAGCAAGTAATTTTTGAGATGTGACAGCTAGAGTAGAAGTACAACCCATAGGTTCCACTAGGCAAAGTGTCACTTGTTTTCCAAGAAGGGTATATATGCTGAAATGATGCAAGCTGATAGTCCAAGGAAAAGCATCACCTGACATAGGGAAGAAAAGAGAGTAGGAAAGCATTTCAAAAAATACAGTTAATTGTCACATGTTAATAAATTATATAGTGTTTATATTTAAAATGTAAAACATTTAATATGTAATGATTAATACAGCATCACAAAAAGTGAACACAATATACCAGAGATAAAAGTGACAATTTGCATGCTACTTAAAAGGCTGTCTTTTAAAAATGTTTCTATTTATTAACATACTATTAAGTTAACAATTATGCAAATTATAAACCACATATATGAATGTAAATTAAATAAATGAGATAAAAATATAAATGGAAGTTCAAACTCCCTCTTTCCCTTACCCTAGTGGGTTGTACTGTCAATGGCTGGGGATGTATACACTGTGTCTTAGAGAATACAGAAAACTGATTAAATTGGAAAAATGTAATAATATGCATATGGATTGAAGAGTACCACAGAGCTTGCTACAGAATGGGACAGGAAAAAAAAAATAAACAATTTACTATGGTCTGTTGGACCACCTGCATCAGAATCATGTGGGTACTTAATTAAAACAGAGGTTCCTAGATTCTACTTCATATCTACTTACCCATAATCTCTGGTGGTAGGGCATGCATTTTGATTTGTTACCTGGATGATTCTTACATAAAATAAGCTTTTACTAACTTATCTATTTTATATTTACTATTTTACTAACTTCAATGTCCAAATTTCGAGATAAAACCGCTTCATTTTTTATTATGGCTACAGGAAAGTACTTTTTGAAATAATTTTTACAAGTACACTCATAATTAGAATATTTATAAATGTATTATTATGACATTAACCTGATGGAAAATATGTTCTTGCCACTTGTATTTTGGACTTTACTGTTCTACTAGAGCTTGTCAGTACAGACAATACATTAGAGACTTCTTTTTAAGTAGCTCAGTTATTTCAGAACAAAGTAAGAACATTCATTTTCTAATTAGAGAGGTGCCAGGTACTTCACTGCAGAAAATTGAGAAAATAGAATATATACAGAAGAAAATATAAAAATAAGCCATAATTCACTTACTACCCCCCACCATTTACAATATATATACATTTCCTCATTAACATATTTCCTTCATATATGAAGGATGTACTCAGGCAGTGTTAGAACCATGGATCACACTGTACTTACAGTTTCATATTCTTTTTCATTGAAGAAAAAAATATGTGAATTAGTAAAGGGATTATACTGTAAATATATGTAAGAGGGGTCTACATAGGCATCTGATACTCAGTAGATGCCACCAGATTCTTGTAAGTTTTAACATTTAAAATGTCTTGGTCTAATATAGTTACAATTATTATTATAAAATTAGAAACTTTGAGGCCAGGTGCAGTGGCTCATGTCTGTAATCCCAGCACTTTCAGAGGCCAAGGCAGGAGGATTGCTTGAGTCCAGGAATTTGAGACCAGTCTAGGCAACATAGCACGGTCTCATCTCTACAAAAAATAAAAAATTACCCAGGTATGGTGGCACATGCCTGTAGTCCCAACTAATTGGGAGGCTAAAGTGAAAATGTCACATGAGCCTAGGAGGTGGTGGCTGTGTGAGCCATGATGGTGCCACTGCACTCTAACCTGGGCAACATAGTGAGACTTTGATTAAATAAATAAATAAATAATTAGAAACTTTGAAACTGACACTTCCATAATAGAATAAATCTAGCAACAAAGTAGTTCACAATAACTGCATTGGAAACAACAATAATGTCATAATAATATGTTACTCTGCTTGTAATACAATTTAAAATATTTTCCCCCAAGTAAGAATGACAAACTTTAAATCATCTGTAACTAATTAAAATTAGCTAAAAACTGACATAAAATTCCATCCTATTTACAAAATAAAGGCTCTGCCAAATTTGTCTTAAAATATTTTGGGATGAGTTCAGATTACATGTTTGAAAACTGGTAGTGAATTACACATATTTTTCAAATTTTATTTTATCCAACAAATGGTAAATGGTAGTTATGGTGATGGAAGAGTATCACATTTGAATCTGTTAAATAAAATACAACATTGGTACTATCTCAGATACATGCTTCTACTTTTTCTTTGGAATCAAACCAATAAATTGAAATTGGGTATATCACACTCTAACTCTTAAAAAGAACTTTTCATGATACTACTTCATTTACCTAGTATGGAGATTGACTGTTTTAAAAAGCACACTATACCTAAAAGATGAGATGTTAATATGTAATGACAAAAATTCCACATTCACTGTGAAAAATTTCACAAAATACATTAGCCAAACACACACTCCCTTTACAGACACATCAAAATAAAGACAACTTATCTACTTAAAATACTGGCGAAAATAATATTCTGGGTACTCACTAAAATACATCCAGACATCCATGACAGGCGAGAACTACACAGTATTCTGAGAACTTCATGAAGCTCAATATGGCCTGACCTTCAAGATTAACATTTTTATTTTACTTGGAAAGTTCTAACACTATAATCTAAATACTTAGAGAAAATACTGCTGGAAGAATTCAGAAATTTTCAAACAAAATGTCTAAAGAACAATAACAAAACGAAGCAGGAAGATTGAGAATTCCATTGTAATAATTGACCCTTCCATATTATCAACAGAGAAAAGAATACAAACAGAATAATTCTCAAGAAAATCATGAGCAAACACTGATGTAATTCAGAACAAATAATATGAAAAAGAATGAATATGATAGAAGGCTTTGGGACAAAATGAATGAATAAAGAACAGTCTGTGAGACTATGTGTTACATATGTCAATGCCAAGGGGTGGTGTGAGAAGCAGACCCCAAAGGAACATATTAACTTAAAACTGAGTGAAACTTAAAAAAACAAACAACTGTGAATTTCCTTACATGTTGTGTTATCATATGTTGTTGATTTTACATCATGCTAGTATCAGAAGATTGTAGTTTAGATACAAAAGTAATTTTAATAATACAGATATCAAATATGTTATCAATGTTGAAGTATGTTATCAATGTTGAAATTAGTGAACAGTACCTAATTATACACCCTTATCATCAACATCTAATTTATGACCCTGAATCTTACTGGAAAGAGATTAATCTTTTGGAAAGAGAATTAGTTTTATATTAGTAGAAGATACTCAACTAATATACTTGGGGCCAATGTGAATCACCTTACAAATTCTATCTCGCAAAAAGGAAAGCACGTTGGTCAATATAGGAGATACTTTGCTTGGTTTTATTTGCTTTCATTACCTCAGTCATTGAATGTTTAATTTGTCATAAGAAACAAAAAAATGCCTTCCTCTTCTCCCAAATTTTTTTTCCCTTATGTTCAACAAGTATGACTCAGGCAGGTTTGTATTTCAAGTAAAAATTAGTGTAATCAGAAACATTCTACCACCTATTGTGAGGGAAACATTTTAGAGACAGATAACACTACAAATATAAGGGAGCCAAAATTACTGACAGTGTTTCCCCAAACCAGTTAGCACTTAACTGATTTAAAAACAGTTAAGGGCTGGGCTCTATGGTTCAGCCTGTAATCCCAGCACTTTGGGAGGCTGAGGCACGTGGGCTGCCTGAGCCCGGCGGGTTAGAGAGCAGTCTGGGCAACTTGTGAGACCTCGTCTCTACAATAAATCAAAAATTAGCTGGGCGCGGTAGCACACACCTGTAGTTCTGGCTACTTGGAAGGCTGAGGATGAGGAATTGCCAGAGCCCACCAGGTCGATGCTGGGGTGGCCGTGAGTGTGCCACTGCACTGAGACGCAAACTCAAAAACAAAAACAAAAAACAAAACAAACAAAAAAAGTTAAGATAACGTGTTCTTTAATCCTAGTGATGTTAATTTAAGTAACAAGTACTTTCAAAAAATCAAGGCATTAAAAATGATATAATCAAATGATATAATCTTCCTGAAAGGCAAGGATAGGTAAAATGCCTAGAAAAAGAGGAAATGAAAATGAGCAATCTATAATTTTATTTGCTCTGTAACTAAAATTCTATATGTGGGATACTGTCCTCCATTAGGAAATGTGACATGTACTGCATATACAAAATATAATAATAATAGTAATATTAAGAAATAATTGGTTTCAAACTTGTGAAAAATTTTCTTCACATCTAAAAACCTAAGTCACTGCTAGCACTATTTACTTCTGAAAGTTATAACTAGTTTAATCAAGACTTAATCATTAAAATTTCATTATTCATAAAGAAATATAATACTGCTTAAGATTATCTAAATTTATTATTTCAATGATAAACAATGCAAAACTAGAATAATCATTGCTTGTGAAAGAAGCAGAGACTGAATAGCATAGTCCTTCAGGTAATAAAAGTATTGGTAGTTAATCTATAGTTTTGTTAGAATTGTGAATATAACAATGTGTGACTTACTTAGGGTCAATTAGTAGTAAAGACTCCTAGTACTTTATAAATAGACATGGTTATTACATCAGTAACATGAGTGCCATGGGATGGATAAACTGTCTTAGTTAGCTCAGGCTGCTATAACAAAATACCATAGACTGATGGTTTAAACAAAAGTTCTAACACTTTTGGGAACTAGAAATTCCAAGATGAAGGTACTGGCAAATTTGATTCTTGGTGAGAGCCCCCCTCAAAGCTGACTTATATAGAGTTGCCTTCTTGTTTTATCACATGACACAGAGAGAAGCAGCTCTGGTGTTTCTATCACTTCTTTTTTTTTTTGAGTTAGAGTCTCACTCTGTCACCCAGACTGGAGTGCAGTGGCTGCTCCCGGCCATCGCAGCCTCGATCTGCTGGGCTCTAGCGATCCTTCCCCCTCAGCCTTCCGAGTAGCTGGAACTACAGGCGCGCGCTACCACACCTGGTGCATTTTTGATTTATTGTGGAGATGAGGTCTCACCAAGTTGCCCAGGCGGGTCTCGAACCCGCGGGCTCAGGCAATCCACTCACCTCAGCCTCTTATAAAGGCACCAGTTCCATCGTGGGGGCTTCAATCTATGATGTCATATAAACAC